CGCACTTAGGAAGACATAGTGGGACTGACACAAAATGATTTTAACATGTTTTTTATAGAGCTGAATAACCCAAAGGGATTTTCACTATTTCATGAGACAAATGGTGTCAAGATGATTAAACGTCTTATCTGAAAACTTAGAAAAAAAAAGAAGCTTAATTAGTTTAGAGATTTGCAAGATTTGGACAATTTTGCTGTTACACCCATATATAAATTTCTCAGGAGTTTGTTTAACAAAGTAACAGTGCTGTGTAAGAAAATATCTCGGAGGAACCTCCTCTTTAGCAATGGAATATGAAGGGAATTAAGATGGTTAAAGGAGGCACGATGCAGTCATGGATAGCGGCTCAGACTGAGGAATCGGAGAGCCGAGTTCGAATTCCAGAATCTTTTTCTTCCTCAGCAATGAGTAAGTAGCAAGACAAACTGAGGATTATAGCCATGTGTCGCAACCGTTCTAAACGCCACTTCTACTTCGGCTTCAGTAGGTATGGTGCCCCTTCGACCCTGATTCGTGAGAGGTTGTAGTTGTTCCAACGAGAGAAAATTGTATATTTTAAAGTAAAAAGAGAAGCCACAGACGTTTTTGGTTTTTCTATTTTCTCTTCTAAATATCTCTCTATCTATCGCTCTCTCTCTCTCTCTCTCTATATATATATATATATATATATATATATATATATAATATTTGCCAGGATATCTTTATTCAGACGTTTTATTCAATAATATCAACATATTATGTCTACTTATTTTTATATTGATCTTTTTAATTATATATATATATATATATATATATATATATATATATATACAGAGAGAGATAGAGAGAGATTGTAACAAATGCATCAAGTGTTATATTAGAAATGTTCTCCAACTGAGAATTCTTAAATGACACATTATCAGTTACCAATTATATATATATATATATATATATATATATATATGAAGAAATATAGTCTTAAGGTGTGCTATATTTATGGAATAAAGTGCTCAATATTAGAGATAGAGCGTGTGTAAATATAAAAGTGAACATAGAAGTCAGCACTTAGAGGCGACAGTCTGTTTCATGCTAGATACAATCGTCAGGCCACGTGTGCTGTTATTTTTCTCGGCTATTTATGTATATACGGATCAGTGGTGCATTGTGGGTAGTCTATTATGGCGGTTATTTTACCGGAAGTCGTTCATTTTACCGGAAGTCGTTTATTTATTTATTTTGGTTAAATTATTTCGCTTGTTTTTATTTTTATTTTTTGTTTCTTATTTTATTTATTTTTTTAATCGGTGTTTTTATTAACGTAGTAAAAATTTGTTTATATCATTTTTTTAATAGTTTTGTTTTGGTTTGAGAATTTAATTAAAGCTTTTTGTTCGGTTTTGGGGTTGGTTGTTGTAGTTTATT